TTTGGAGCATAGCAAGAGAGGAAAAAAAAGGACTATGAGTGAAGCTACCAACTACTGAGTCAGACCAATGCTGAATTCATAAAGACATAGGTTTCCTGTTTAACAGGCACACTTAAAGCCAGGGCTATGGTAGGATAACTAAAAAACAATGCAGCTTGGCAAAGCTGTAAGCTTTTTCATTCCCAGGAATCACACACACACACACAAAACAAACTGCTTATCACTTTGAACAATACAATTAACCCTCACATATAAAACTAGGAAGAGTATCCTATTTCTTTTGGACTTTAACAGAAAGAGATCACTTTAAGAGCCATTAGTAACAATAACTATCTGGGAAATGGAAATTCTCAACATTATTCCAGTCAGAAAAATGTACACAAATACAGTAAACAAAACTCAATGACTGTTCTGAGAGAAAAAGGTCTAAGTAATTTCAGAGAGAGAATATAAAAATGTACAGCAGAAAAGTCATACGAACCATCTGTACGAAAAAATCATTAAATACATTGATGTGAACAACGTTATTAGATGATAAGACCACAGTGTGAGGTTGGTCAGAGAAGCACAGAACAACAGACATTTTACTAAACAACCAAGAAGCGGAAAATATCGAAACAATCTGGGGCCCCAAGAAACTGCAGAAAACTGTGTGAAAAATACCTTACATGTAAGAAATAGTAGTTTATTGCCAAACTAGAGAAGGTCTTGGTATACTTGAATGACTGTGACAAGAAACGATTTGTTACCAGCCACAGGTAATCAAGACTTTCCAACATGGTACAAAGAATGAACTTTATGGTAAGCACAGTTTTCTCATAGTAAAGCACAGGTGACTTCTAATTGCTATCTGAAAAATATATTAATACCAATTATGTAAGATGAAATTCGCATGCTACATAACCAAGAAAATATGACTACATCAGAATAAAGTGCCAAGTTACACGTTTAAATCCACAGAAGAGTTTCTACAAACAATGGAGAATGAAACTTGTGTTTGTGTTATTCCCTTTTATGACATACTTGTGATGTTATCTGACCATGCACTCATGGACTTCTGTGCATTTAGTTATCTTAAATGTGGTTTTGGAAATGACATCTCAAAACAGCAGAGGTTCAATAGAAATTTTGTGAAAATGTGTGGTCTAAGAACAACCTTGTCAACCTTTACTGAAAATTGCAGTGTCAAACAAGAATGTGTAGTCATGACCATCACGTGATCACAATTGACAGAGGAGGAAATAGTTCCAAGGGCAGCAAAGTATTTGGACACATAATGTTTTATTAAGAGTGATTAATCTTCTGTATACAATGAAGAACATTAAGAACAAATTTATGTAACTTTGTTCAGAAAACAACAGAAAGTCTCATAAAAACATGAAAAACCCGACTAAACCATAAAAAATATAGGGATTTTAGAATTTTAAAGGTTAAACTACATAAATAACAGTCCAAAAATAAATTTGATAAACATTTACCAGCATCCACAAAAATGACCTGATACATTACTTCCATAAATACAAAAAATACTTTCTTTGCACTTTCAACAACTTTAATGGCAAATTGTCACTTTTAAAGTGACTAACATTTTATAAACTTTTACTAATAAAATATTCATAACATTAAGACATAATAATGGCTGGAGACGGCTTGAATGGGTAATGAAGAAAAACTTTAATATAAGTTTAACATAACAGCAAATGTACAACGTTTCGACAAGAAACTAGATCAACTAAGGAAACTACAACAACGTGAACTGAAACACAACAATGCAGCTCAGCCTAACCTTGTAATCAACAGATCTGACCGGACGGACACTCAACGACACAGAACTTCAACTTTTAAACAAAGACCTCAACTTTGCCATCAACCACAAAACAACTCCATGCCTAGAGTTCAAGGCGTGTCTAGAAGATCTAGCCAGAAGACTCGTGACCCACTACATAAAAGAACAAAAGACCACCTCTACCTCAAACATCCTCCAGCTACAGAAAGAAGAAATTCATGACATCAACCAACAGACTTTTATCACAGGTAACTACAACAAAATGTGGTTTCCAGAAGTTCTGGCTAGATCTTCTAGACACGCCTTGAACTCTAGGCATGGAGTTGTTTTGTGGTTGATGGCAAAGTTGAGGCCTTTGTTTAAAAGTTGAAGTTCTGTGTCGTTGAGTATCCAGTCAGATCTGTTGATTACAACACAACCACAAGACTCTGTTCAACTGACCACA